TTCCTATTTTTATATAAATTATCGATTATCGCATTAATGTTGAATAAGAAAAAATAATTTTTTAGATTATTATTAAATATTTTAAAAACAATTAAAGTCAAAGTTCGTGGCCTCAGGCTTTTATCTTTTCATTGATTTAGTTAGTCAAAATTTTGAATTTTGATGTTGACATCCCAATTATTTGGAAATTAATTGTCAATTTTAACTGTTACAGGTTTTTTTTTATTTTTAAATAAACTAAAATTCGTCATGGATCAAGTAAGGTCCTTTTCATATTTTTTCTAATTACGTTATATATATATTGATTATTAAAAGAAAGTTTACACTATTAACAGAATTTAATTAAATATATATAGCACGCTGTTATATTATTTTTCGGTAATTTTTTTCATGTTGTTATTAATAAAATTAACTATGGCAAGTTATTCTAATTTTGAAGTTATTACATCAGATTTTCTAAGAGAAGTATATGTTATAAATTCCTCATTCTCCCCAGCCAAGTTTAAGTAGGTTGGTAGTAAATATTTAATTGAATAGGTAAAAGCTTTAAAACTCATTTTTCAATTTGTGGAAATTGACCACTTGAATTTAAGTTAATTGAAGTGTAGTAATGCCTTATTGACTGGTGTGTGAAGCCAGGTAGGACTGAACGGGTTCATTCTAATATCATTTGACGGAAAATTATACTATTGCTACATGATTAAACTTAACTTTTTTAATGCATAGGTAGCAGATGTTTAACTCCTTTGACTTCTTTATATTTTAAACTTCTTTTTTTGTGAAATTCTTACTTTGAGTATTTTATTTACACGTAATGTGTGAAATTATACATGAGTTTAAGCTTTCACGTGAATATAATGTATACTTCAGTTTTTGAGGGTTTTATGACTCTAGTTATAGCTAGTAAATTACATAATTTTTAATAAGTTGGGCCTAGAGGTACTACAGTTTGAATATTATTAAAGGCTGCCAACTTGTCATAAAATAATTTTGAGATCATAAATATGCAAAAATAAATAAATTAGCAGGACCATTGATACAAGGTTAATGAAAATGAATTGTCACTTGAAATTGTGAAACTTGTCATGTCAATATCATAAAGTTTATAATTGAGATAAAAATGTAGTATATCTTGAGACGTGCCATATACATTGATTTCTTGGCCCCCATCTTATCTTATATTGTAATGTCAATATCATAAACGTGTATGCTCTTTTATCGTTTTCTCCTCGTGAGCTAATTTTTGGTTTGAGCTCAAAATTAATTTTTTTACTATTAATTAGCTCTGAAATTAACCAAAAGGCAACATTACTAGTGGTGTTCGAGTTAATTTGAAGCACACAGTAACTGATAATTAATTCTAATAGGTAAGTATTACTTTACATCTATATGGATATTAATATATCCACCATCATTTTGATTATATATATATAAAAGATAAAAGTTTAAATAGTTAATCAACTATGCTATTAAAATTCTTTCATTTTGATTAAATAAAAAGAAACCACCTTGCATTTTTATTTAACTTGACGTAAATAAAAGGCCATTTACCTAGTAAAACTCAACAAGTCAATTTTTACAATTTTGCAAGACTAGAGATCCAATGCCCTCACTTTGATGTGGCAAATTTCTCGTGATCTTTTACCCCTTTAATCGGAATTAACAACAGTATTTAGTACAACCAACTTTTATTTTTTAAAACTTTATAATATAATATGTTTTTAAGTACAACCAACTAGCTAGTTCTTAGAAAGGGGAAGAAGATGCATAAAAAAGTGAAGGGAATAAAGAGAGAGAGAAAAATTACTTTTCCCGTTTTAAAATACTTGTCATCGTTATTTAAAATAATTATCATTTTAGAGTTTAAATTAAAATCATCTCCTTCTTTTTTATTGTATCTCTAGTCATAATCATCTTAAAGATTATAAACACCTCAATTATTATACATAAACAAAAAAATACAATGAATTTTTTTTATATATCTTATACTACAAATAAAAATAAAATTGTCATTCACCCTTTATTTGAAAAATATATAGATGATAAATACGATAAATATTTTAAGACGACATAGTAATAATTAGAGTTGGAAGCATTATATTGATGAATGGAAGGGGACAATTAGGGCCTTCATATCTTTTATCGGACAAAGAGAAAATCAAATTGGCCCCTCTATAAATGTAAAGAGAGCAATTGTTCTTTGAAGATTTATAATCCACTTGCACCATTAGTTAATTTATTAATTGTACCCTACTGTTCTCATTTTAATGATTTTATCACGAATCACAAAAGCAATGTATAAAGAATATTACATACGAATTTGGTCGAATTAATAATTTATTCTAAGGGTCTGTTTTGACACGAGATATTGTTTGAAATCAGATTGATTTGAAGTTATAGTTTTATTTGGATATGCAATTTGAATTTTTAAGTTGTAAATTTTGTTAGTCATTAAACATAAAAATTTCCACAAGTTGTGAAAATTATCAAACTTCCTCTAATTCTTACATAGTCTTATCAAATGAGCAAATTATAGTTATAAACAAGATATCAAAATATTTGAAAGCGTTGGATTGATAAATCGTATATCTCTACATGTTCCTTTAATAAATAAATATTTGTGATTACAAATTTTGAAATACACATAATTTATAAAGACCTAATTGTCAACCGATCGACTAGTGACTAGTTATATATATATATATATAATTCTTTCACGTGGTATGAATAATCTCCTTACACTAAAACTGAGCTTTTTTGTTTGTTTTTATAAAATTTAAAATGATATGTAATTTTTTCTTCAATATAAACTTGTGAATTGAATTTTACATTTTAAAAATCATAATTGAAATTATGATTTAAAAATCTCAAATCATATTTATAGAGGATGTGATATTTAACATTATAATCCCAAATACCCAAATGCTAATTTGAATCATGATTTATTTCACAAGTCCAAAACCCTACCACTAAATTTAACTACATTCAAACCTTAGGAATTATATTGAAGAAAAATTACGAAGAAATGTAGATTCACAATCCCTAAGAATTGAAAGTAATTTGGAGATTTACTCTACTTGGTGTACTGTCCTTATAAGACAAAAAAAATTATTGAGACTAGTAGATACTAATATATTGCATCTACAATTTTATTTTTACCACAAAAGGATTTTACTAATCTGTTTAAAAATTATATAAAATATTGAAGAAGTACTTTTTGAAACGTCGAACGTTTATCGAAAATATTTTTTTTACTCTAAGATAAAATCTACATATATCCCTTTTTTCGGACCCTATTTGTTGACTTTACCAAATATGTTGTTACACACTACAACAAAAGAGATATTTTGTTGCAATAGATTTTTTTAACAACAATATTATCGTCAAAAAAATATTTAGCTGCAAATTGGATTAATGTATCAAGTGTCACAAAAGTTTTAAGCAACATTTATATACAATATTCAGTATAAATACATATATAATATTATTACTGCTTAATAATTATCACAAAATATCGTAGTATTATTGTTGTACTCATTACTCAAAGAACTGAAGTTGGACAAGACCACGAGTTATTGAGTCACATGACATGCCCATTTTCGACATAGATACAGATCTTGGTTTACACAAATGAAATTTAATAATTGAATCTACACAGGTATTAATTTTTATTATTAATAATAAATGCAAAAACTATAAGCTAGTACTACTTTTTCCAAAATTAATAATAATAATAATAATAAAAACATAGTAAAACCAAAGAGCTAAACAATTAAGTAATTAATAACGAGGATAAAATTAATTAAGATTGAAAAATACAAAAGTGTGGACGTTGGGATTCTCTGTTGAGAGCAGAGAGAATTTTATCGTCCACATGAATGGAATATATTATTTTATTTTGACAACATTTTAACGTGTTCTTCACTTGCTAACTTCTGGATGAATGGAGGACCAGCCATGTTTTGAAGTGTCTGTCAAGGACGTTAGCGTATAAACGAGGTAATTATAACTATTTGCACCTTGTATTTCGGCATAGTAAACGATTAAAAGATAATCAGAAAATTGGCAATGCAATTTGTTAAACAAAGACACAATTCTTTACTTAATTCATGTATTATATTAGCTCCGGTAAAGATGTAACTTATTGCATTAAAAATCAATTACAAATACCGATCTATATAGCAAACATAAACTAGGCACTTAGATATTATGCAATAATAAAAATAAAAATAAAAATAGGATGGTAAAAATCAGTTAAAAAGTCGAATAATATTAAACTTTATTCTAATGTAGTATCAATGAATATTGTCTTCATTCTAACGTGCTTAGGTAAAACATTACGAATCACTTTTCATTAATTTCTTTAATATTTGCAATATTCTTATGAAATATTTTTACTAACTCCGTTAATATTTGCAATACTCTTCACACAACTATTTTTTGCACCGATTTTTAAACATATAACTCTAGGTTCATCGGTACATGTCAAAAAATATAATGTAATAAATGATTATTTTATTTTTTTTAACTAAAAGTCTCGATTTCAAGAGTTATGAATGAACAATTTTTTAATAAGAAGTGCTTCTCTGTTATAATTTCATATTGGTTGAAAAGTTAAAAATTTGTATGAGACGTCTGTTATAATCCCGATTATGAGATGTAAAATTAATTTTCTTTTATGAATTTGAGCAATTTATATTTTATGAATATTATTTAAAAATGAAAAAAGTATTACATCAATGGCTAATAAGATTGATGTGAGATGGGCTGTTAAAGAAATATCGTTATTAATAAGATAGTGATCTCCTTATAAAACATTGGAGTTAACTTTTAGAGTGTGAATTAGTCACAACAACACCAACTACATAGTTATTTTTCGGATCAAGTTAGATTCAATGTGCAATATTTTTACCCAATATTATATTAAGCTGTCATAGTTTACCAAAATAACATAATTATCCTCATAATAATTTAAAAAAATCACTATTAAATCCACAAAACAAGACAAAGAACAATCAGAAGAGATGCCATGAAGTAACCCTTCCACCAAACACCAACCCTTTACCTTTATCCCCTTCCACATTTCCATCTCCCTAACACCTTTTTCCCCTTCTATGATCATATTCATCTTCCTCTCAATGTAATCACATAGCCATGGCTACTGTCTTTCGTCCCCTTTTCTCTAATTTCCTCTCTCTTCTCTTCCTCTTGCTTCACCTCGGCTGCTTCATCTCATCCCAAAATCACTCTTCAAAAAAACGAAAACTCTCTTCTAATCGCGATTCTTCACCCCCACCACCGTCTACTCGTCTCAAATCCTCAACCACCAACGTTATTTCCTCTTCATGGTCTTACATCAAACGTATTTTCTCATCCAATAAACAAAAAATCATCAACACCCGAACTCACCATAACCCTTCAATTCAATCTCCCTGTTCTTCAACAAGGTCCCTTCAAAAACCCATTTCATCAGATGACCCAATTAACCGCTCCGTTTCTCCAATACCCGAATCCGAAATCACCTCCGATCAATTATTCTTCTCATTACGAAACGATATCTACCCATGTACTCTATGTGGCGAAGTATTCCAAAGCCCCATTCATCTCGACCAACACCAATCGATTAAACATGCAATTTCGGAACTCACAGATGGGGATTCCGGTAACAATATAGTTCGGATCATTTTCCAAACGGGTTGGGTTGATAAAGCGAAGAACCCGGTTATCAATCGGATCCTTAAGATCCACAACAGCAAACGGATCCTATCCCGGTTCGAAGAATACAGAGAATGCGTTAAGCTAAAAGCAAGCCGAAACGCCGTCGTTAAGAGAGACGAAAGGTGTATAGCTGACGGCAATGAATTGTTGAGATTCCACTGTACTACCTTCATTTGTGAGCTAGGACAAAATGGTAATTCCAGCATATGTACTCAACAGTATTGTAGTGTATGTGGAATTATAAAAAGTGGATTCTCACATAAGATGGACGGAATTTCCATGCAACCTACCAGTTGGAGGGGACACGTGTCGGTACCTGAGGAGATTGAGGAGGAATTCGGGTTTATGAACGTGAAGCGTGCGATGCTGGTGTGTCGGGTAATTGCGGGTCGGGTCGGGTCTGATCCGGATTATGTGGATAAAGAGGATTCCGGGTTTGATTCGTTGGTGGGTAGGGAAAATGGGTCTCAGATGAGATTGGATGAAGAAGATGAACTATTGGTATTTAATTCAAGGGCTGTACTACCTTGTTTTGTTATAGTGTATACGGTATGATTAGTGATAATTAATATGCTGTGTGTTAATTATTCCATAAGAAATTTGGTGTTAATTTTCAGTATTACTACAACTTAATAATAGAATAGTACTTAATCTAGTGTGTGTGTGACTGAATCTCAATTTAGGTTCAAGTAATTTTATTGCAATTGAGCATGTTTGAGAGAGTTAAATCGAGCTGAAGTTATGCACCGTCGGTGTAAATAATTGTTTACCCTCTTAGGTTATTCTTAGGTTATTCTTAAGTTGAGTGTCTATGGAAATAACCTGTTTAATTTGCAAAATAAAGATTAAGGTTTGGCTACACAACAATCTCTCCCGACTAGATATGTAAAAGGCTTAAAGTAGGCAAAAGCGATTTGATGGTTTAAATATTTATTTTACATATATAATTGTATGTATTTAGAATATAAATCTTATTCTATTAATAATGATTATTTTACAATCATATACCAGGTTCGAATCGAAAACCATGGATTTTTATTCTGCGGAATCCATAATGGACAGTGGATACGCCACTAATATCTTTAAATATCTATACAAACTATGTTTAAAAAGAAGTATGACCCCTTAGTTTATTAATTTTAATTTAAGAAAATCTAAAAGTTTGTACTACTAGTTTGTCAAAATCTTTACCTAGTTGTCAAGTGAGAAGACAAAAAGTCGATTAGATAGTAGTGGTTAGGAGTTAATTATTTAAAATAGTGGTACAATATATAGTCTCGATTATTGCCTCATATATAGACATTGTAGGATCGTTTTAATTCACTTTAAGTTTGTATCCTGAAGATTCTTAATAACTCAGTTAATTAACTATCTGAATAGCAAATGGGTAAAAAAAGGTGGTAAAACTATTATAGTACATGAGTACTTTTGGATGCCTTCTTGTATAAGGTTGTGTTTTTTCTGATTAATAAAATATAAATAATGAAGATTGATATGTAGTACATGTATAATAATGGTATCACATGGTTTGTAGTAGGGGACTAGTGGGATAATCGTGACTCAGTTTTGCACGAGGACATGCCTAAATATGCTGTAAAGCTACATAGCTACAAGGCTGGTGCAAACTGTTAAACATCATTTTAGACATTAAGGAGGAACATTTTGGTGTACATAATCATTAGAAATTATATGTATATATAATCTTAATTACTTTGGATAAATAATATGGTCAGTGACTTTCTGTAACACACCACCAATAGATGTGGTGCAGTGGATGTGGTTGTTGATCCTCTTTTAATCAATAGTCTCGAGTTCGATCCCCAAATATGGAAAAATCATTGCTAGGGAGCATTTCTCCAAATGAGGCCTAAGTGACAAAAAAAAAAGATGATCTGTAACCCAGATGGAGATCCTTCTTCAGTGTCTTCTATTAGGAGTTAATATTTTAGATGGTCACTCAACTAATGGTTCTTTTCACAGAAAGTCACTTAACTTTCTTTTATAACCATAAAGTCACCCAACTAGAAATTCTTTTCATAGAAAGTCACTCAACTAAGGATTCTTTTCACAGAAAGTCACTAACCTTTCCTTTTTAACCTCAAAGTCATTTAACTATAAATACTTTATCTACAAAGTCACTCAACTTTTGATATTTCATTTAAAAAGTCATCCAAACAATTTAAATGATTTTTTCATTAAATTTTATTGAAATATAATTTTTTTTTTGTAAATTATGTTTTTTTTAAATAAAAAGATTTTCAGTTTTATTATTTTATTAAATTTTATTGAAACACAATTTTCATTTTAAACTAATTTCTTAAAAAAATAATAAGATAGCCATTTTAATTATTTATTAAAATACAAATTATTTTTATCGTCTTTGATCCATATTGCGAGTTACGGCAGATGCATGGCCTTATAGCATGGATACTAACTATCCTTTAGTTTTATGTCAATCAAGTTCTACTACACTGATTCCGTGTCCATATTCTTCTTCACTTTTATGACATTTCGCTTTATTAGTTTAAAATAAAATAGTATTTTAATAAAATTTATTAGAATGAGTATTTTATTGTTTTTTTAAAAACTTATTTAAACAAAAATTGTGTTTCAACAAAATAAAAAAAAAGTGTTTTAACAAAATTTAATAAATAATTGAATGAGCTTGTTATTTTTTTAGAAATAGCTTTAAACAAAAATTATATTTCAATAAAATTTAATGAAAAAATCATTTAAATTGTTTGGATGACTTTTTAAATGAAATATCAAAAGTTGAGTGACTTTGTAGATAAAGTATTCATAGTTAAATGACTTTGAGGTTAAAAAGGAAAGTTTAGTGACTTTCTGTGAAAAGAACCCTTAGTTGAGTGACTCTCTATGAAAAGAATTCATAGTTGGGTGACTTTGTGGTTATAAAAGAAAGTTGAGTGACTTTCTGTGAAAAGAGCTATTAGTTGAGTGACCATCTAAGATATTAACTCCTTCTATTAGTTAATAGTTTTGTGTTGTTATATTAGTAAATATTATCCGAATAATCATCTGACCTTAATTACTTGAAAGGCTAAATAATATCATATTTGTTTAGAATAGGTTCATTTTATTATTACTTGTGATTTGAGGATTAGATCTATGTTCAGTTGAATTATATTCGTTATGCGATCTGAATTGTAGCATTATGGTCAAAACCTTTTGTTTTATGTAAATCATTCATTTAATCTTTCGAGAACATCAATGCAATGGAAGTAGTTTATTATATATTCTTTGTATTGTGCCAACTAGATTAAGTAAATATCTGAGAAATATTCAAATATTAGAATAATAAGGAATCCAAGGTTTCATCGAAAGAATTCATAATCTAAAAATAAACTAATAACCAAGAAAGGAAGAAAGAAAGAAGAGTTAAAAAGATAAAAAATACATCTTTCTATATTTCATATATGAATGATTAGGTATATGAATTTCCTATATGAACTAGTACCAAATATTTTTTGGAGTACTTAGGTATATTTTTAACATTCACTCAAGAAAAAAAATGAAATGACTGTTAACTCAGTGTCGAACCAAAACAAATAAAAATCCACAAAATAGGGAAAACTATCTTATTAGATATACATTTATACCATATATGTTAATTTATCTATATACTTTTAAATAATCATGTATCTTAGCACTAATTAAAAGTCCCCTACCATATATTCTGAAATATATATTTATATACATGTATTTTTGCTGCAAAATACACTAAATTAGGGAGAGAGACAAGCGAGATGGGGAGGGAGGTGAGCGAGATTTGCCATGTATCACACATACATACAAATCCACTTGGATACAGTGTATCTAGAACAAATTACATCTAATGCTGACCCATATATTCCAAGATACATGTTTCTGAATACACCAAAAATTTGATAAGATTTGTGATATTGCAAGTTAGAGTGTATCTAAGGTAGTTTCTAAACTTGTGGAATTTCTGTAAGTTTCCAAAAATGATTATCATGTGTAATCTAGAAGTGTTGGGCCGGCCCAAAAGAAACAACGGACCAGTACAGCAACCCAGCCCACTAAAATCACCGATTCTTGAGCATCGTGCAAACCCCGCCATTTTCTCATCCGCATAAATCTCCTCAGTTTGAACTTCAAACATACGTGTTTCTCCATTAGAGGAACTCTCCAGTACATTATTAATTGTTGTTCAAGATTGATAGAGCTCAAATGGCACAAAAAATGGGGAAAATCAATACTTTATTAACAATAATTTGACTAATTGCATAGTTTTGGCCTCGAATTCAGTTCCCTATAAACCCAAATTCAACTTTACCCTCTTCTTCTCCTGGAATCCCGCTTTCTGATCTACATTTAGCTTCATTCTCCATTAATTACCCTTATTAAAATATTCCCCATTGTTTTTCCACTGCCCCCATGTCTTCTTCTTTTGCCTATATGGTTTTTTCAGATCCACGCTTTCCATTTGCTTTGCGTACTCTTCAAAAAGCAATATATTTCTCCTCTCACGTATTTTACGTGAGCTTTTTTGCTGTACCCAGGTGTTTGAAGCATTGTTCGGAACATAAATTTGCGATTTGGGGTTTCTTAATTTATTATCAAAATGGTATTTTAAACTGGTGTTCTTACATATAGTGGCTGAGATTGGAGAATAATTTGTGGCATTAGGAGATTTTCGTTCATTGGAATCTGAAGATTTAAGGGTATGCTCTTTAGTGTTGTTTATTCTCATTTTGTATTTACAAAATTAAACCCATTAGTGGTTTAATTATTCATCTAAAAATTGATTTTATGATTTAGGAATAGAAATAGAGCTAATTAGGACTGTATAAGTGTTTTAGGTTAAAAATATAGCTGTTTCTATTGTAAAGATTGCATCTTTAATTGTGTATGTTTAACTTTTAAGTGTTCTCTTGGCTGTTTTGTTTCTTTTATATGTTGTACAGAACTGTGTTTGAGCTCGTTAACGAATTCATATCTGATATTTCCTTAAATTTGTGCTATGCTTGGAAGAATGAGTGATTCACTGACTCTTCTGCACTAAGAGTAGCTGAAGGTGCAGGGCTTAAGCCTTTCTGCCAGATTGTGCTTTGTTGGGAAGATGGGAATTGACTCTTCAGTAGCATTTTCTGATGGAACAAATTTTATACTGGTTTTATAGAGCCCCTAATTTTACGTGAAAGTATAAACTGTTAATATACGAATGAAATGGATTAGTGTAGATGGATGGATAGGGTTCATATAGCCAATCCCGTCTAATTAGGGATTGAGGGTAGTTGATTCATTGATCGAATGACGGGTTTTCCATTGGTTGGCAGTTGACCAAATTCAGATACTGCTAGCATTACTTTTCATTGTACCAAGGAGGAACAAAGCAGTATAGACTGTAGGCACCAATGTTGGCATTCCATTTTATTCAAATGCACAGTTTTATACAATTAGTTGCAATTAGTAGTACTTGGACTGGTGTAGCAGACTGCTGATAGATTTTAGCTGTTGTCAAGGCAATTCAGAGCTCTTTCTGTGCATGTTGAAACTGATTCCTTTTCTTCTTTCTTGATTAAAGGTTGATTCAATGTCCTCTGCGGTTAAGTTGGAATCCGTTATCTGTCAGAATGGTGAGGAGCCAGATTATATATCTGTAAATGGGAAGGTGGCATTTGCCAAAAGATTAAATGTAGTGCGCAAAATTCTTGAGGGATTCCGTAGGCAAGGAGATTGGTCGGCTATCAAGACATCAA